GTGAAATAAATGTTTAGCATGACTAGAAAATTTGCATCAGGCATAGAAACGATGAACTGTTGTTACGAAAAGCTTTGGCTATAGCAATAAACATGTTTTGCACCATACAGTTTGCGTAAAAGAGAAATTTAGATTTTATAGGGAAAATGAAAGATGAATTTTGTAGTTTTTACAATACAATAAACAATATTATAACATTAGATTGGATCAGGGGCTTTCTTAAGCTTGGTAGAATAATAGTTTCGATTTGAATAAACTACGAGGCATAAGAAGATGGAACGTGTGAATCTAAAAATTGACTGAGAAACTGAAACTTTATGGAACCTAACAAAAGTAACAAGATCTCTAAACAACAACCTGATTATCATATAAAGAAAGATTATTCAATTGATAAACAATGAACACAAAATAATAAAGTGGTACCTAACAAAACTAAAATGTTAATAAGTATATATTAAATTATTGTAAACAATAGATATTTATTAACTTTGTGTAATCAGTAAAGTAGAAATGATCATTAAACGAGTTTAAAAGATAAAATTTGTAAGGTTTGAATTGTTACTGTTCTGAATTACTTTCCACCGCTACTATAGATATGACAAAAAATATCTACTTACAGAGTCCGATATTATTTCTTTCTTTTTAGTGGCAAAAAGTATAAGTTATTTCAATAAATACGTTTTACTCATCACACAACGTATAACACACGTAACCCATGAAACACAGTTAGTTCACTAAGATGGAAACAACTTTTTGACAAAACATTTCCGGCCAAATTAGTATCTTTATCGTAACAGTACTTCTTTAAATATAATATTTCTAGCACAATACAAACGAATCGTAATCGTAGACAACGAAATGTGTAAATATACTTGTATATAGGCCGTACTTTATAAAACTTTAACTTATGTTAGACCTAAGTTCGATAAAGAGATAAATTAGCACTGTAACCTGTGTACGTTTTTTTTTTTTACTTTAGTTTAGTTTGGACTAAACTTTACTGTATTTTTAATGTTATTCTACGACCTGACGTCAAACCATTTTTAAAAATATAGATAAGTTTTTAATATTCTGTTGTACAAAATTGTTAGTAAAGTATATTTACATTCCCCTTTATTGTTACTTCTTATTTCATGCAGCAATTGTAACGACTTGATCATTCAGTTTTTGCAGCAGCGTTTGTCGTCGAGTGAATAATGCGCATGCGCGGTTTTTCTTGGGGAAGCATTCTAACTACGCATGCTCATGCAGCAGGTTCTCGGTTAGAAAGCGTAACGGTCATACGGTCAGAATAATAGTATAGATTCTTGTATAAAAATTATTCTAAGTGTGCGCATGCTCACTATTTAGTAAGTTTAGATGTACAGGTATACAAATGTGAGACTCGTATTTCAAAACAGATGGCTTCATGTATTAATGTATGTGTTACCTGTTTTGGTGGCATATAGTTACATAGGCACGTGATTAAAAAAAGCCCTCCTCTGTAAATGTTACATCATTTAGATGTTACATATTAGGACATAAACAAAACAAGTTGAAATAAAACAAAATACGACGAATACCATTCTACAAAAAAAGTGACGTAACCATTTTTTAAGACAACAGAGACTTGAAAACATACAATATACAAAAGGGACGGTGGTGGTAAATAGAAGATAAAATTCCT